CTGCGTGTTCCTTGCGTGTTGGTCACATGTCCATCCCATGCCATTCCCATGTCAACCATCTCTTCATTTCCATTGCTGGTGCCTTAATCCCGTGTCAGGCCCATGTCAGGCCCATGTCAGCTCTAAACAATCCCCGTGGATCTTCCTCCGGTCACACGTTAATCCTATGCCGCTTGCATGCTGCTTGTGTGCCAGTCCTGTGTCGTTTACATGCCAGCACATCGATGCCCCATGAATCCCATCTCAACCTTATGACACTCACATGTCCTTCCTGTGTTGATCTCCCGTGGAGCCTTTCTCCATCACACCTTGGTCATGTTCTCAACCCCTGTCAGCACCATGTCAATCCCGTGTTGATCCATGTCCATCCCATGCCCATTCCATGCCCGTCCTGTGTCCACCTCATGTTGGCCTGTCTCCATCCCAAGTTCATCCTGTGTTGGTCCTGTGTCTGCCCTGTGTCTGTCCTACTGAATTCTGAAAATAAGTTTTGATTTTAACTGAAAAATTGCAAAAATCCAGATGTATTTAGAAATGAAACAAAAAATCCTGCATGTGTCTGATCCCTAGGCTTTTTTACCAGAGCAGGAAAAATGGCCCACAGACAACATACCCCAGCTCCACATTTACCCATGAAGCCAGCCGTTAACAAGATGCAATTCTGAACCCAGCACAGAACCCAGCACAGATATTATTTTTGCTATCTTCTCCAAGGATTGATCCTTGGTGAGGTGGTAGCTTTGTGTTCTATGTCACGGCATATACGATTAACAACAGAGCAAAAGACAACACTGTAAATGGGTGAGCAGTGACACCCCACAAACAACCCTCATCACCTCAGTACCTCCCTACACTCGCTTTCCTGTCCTTTAGAGGAAGAAACTTGTCACTCCCCAGTCTATACCTAGGCTCCTTTATTTACTTCTTGTTATATGAGTCAGTCTCTTTACAAAGACCATTAAGCAGCCTTTATTCTAACACCTGAAAGAGCTTAGCTGCCAAGCTAGGCAGAACAGTACTCCTCATGGCCAGCAGTAAACCAAGCAGCAATCCAAAGAGAAAGAAATCGGATACCTTGGATTCAAATAGGCCCAGGTTTACTTCTGGGAGACTGGAATTCACAGGAGGAAAGTCTGCACCACCTTTCAATATACCTGAGTGGATGCTGAGCAAATAAAACGCACTGATTCAGTAACAGTGAAGAGGGCATACAGAGAAAAAAAAATCCATTCCCAATACAGGCTGCCTGGAAAGCTCCAGCATCTTTACCTAGATCCAGGCATTATGCCTTAAACTGTAGACAGATATTGCCGTATACCAGCCGCTGATGACTTCCAGTGCGTATCTGGTAAATTTACTACCTTCAACATGCAAGAGTGTTCAACAGTTATTCTACAGAATACTTATTGATAAGTTACACAGGGACTCTGAAGATTGAAGTTTACCTCCCCTGCCTTTTAGCAGTCCAGGTGTATGTAAGCTTATTCCAAAACTTCTGCTACAAATTCAAACCTACTCAAGTTGTATAAGGACAATGATATTAAAAGGTTACAGTCATGTTACACGGGGACATAAAAAGCATTGCTTTAATCCCTTCCCTGAGCTATAAACTAGAATTTCACTAGTTCTCAACTGTCTATTACAGGTTAAAATTAGTGATGCTTATAGACAGCTTTTCACCTGTGATTTAAACACTTTCACTTACTTTGTACGCCACACATGTAGGAGTACAGATCACCTATCCCCCACTGACAGAGAAAAGACTCACCCCTCATGTAGTTCTGCTAGAGGTGATTCAGCAGCAGAAATGTAGCACATACACCTGCTGTCCAGTCATGAGACAGGGCAGAACATGACTCCGGAGCCTGGAGTCGCAGAGCCTGACAGAGATGCTGACCACACTGACTTCAACCAGAGCTGTAACTGAAGCCCCAAGAGGCACCAGGCCTCTCTTTCAATCTGAGAACCTAGTGACATTCTCAATTTATAACCTGATGTTATTCACTGAAACTCTGGGGACCAAGCCTGGCGCCCCTTTCATGTAGAAATGAGGAAAGCCAACAATTAAACCCATCATCAGCACAGCAGTTAGGAGTTACCTCTCTACACCACAAGCACTCGGACAAAAAAGCACAAGCTGACACACTGAAGGACAATCACAGTGTGTAGGACAAGTGCATTTCTGTGTGGAAGAGTGATCTTTGTAACCTCGTTACATTGACACAGCACCTCTAAATTGCACTAAATAAGCTCAGTCTTAATGATCTTATGCAAGTCTCAGACAGGAAACGAAAGGCTTGGAACCTCTATGTAAAGGGTGGGCGAGAGGATGACACAGTTGGGTTTCATTTGTGTTTTTTTCCCCCCCTTCTTCACCTTACCAAGGAATTTTTTCTGCCATCTTTAGCCTGTCTTTGTCCAAATATTCCTCCAAAATTTAGCAACAGCCTGAAGTTAGAGGAGTTCAAAATGCAAACGGAAGAGAACACTGTTCTATCTGCTTGCTTAAGTTCAGCTGCATATAAAGCTTTCTGTTTAAAAATCACAGATACAGAGGAAATCACAGAGATCACGAAATAACTGAGTTCTCTATTCTTAGAAAGACCAGGAGAGAGCTAAGCAGGACTGACATCCTGGACTTCAGAAGAGCTGACTTTGTCTTGTTTAGGCACCTGCCCGAAAGGATCCCCTGGGAGACTCTCCTGAAGGCTACAGGGGTACAGAAGGGCTGGCGCTCTTTAAGAAGGAAGTGTTAATGGCTCAGGAGCAGGCAGTCCCCAGGTGCTCTAAGAGAAGCCGACACCAGAGAAGACCACCCTGGCTGAACAGGGAGCTTTGGCTGCAACTCACAGAGAAAAGGAGAGTTTACAGCCTTTGGAAGAGGAAGTTAGTCACTCACAATGATTACAGAGAGGCTGGGGGCTATGCAGGGTGGAAATCAAGAGGTCTAAAGCCCAGCTGGAAATTAATCTGGCTTCAGCAATCAAGGACAACAAGCAATGTTTCTGTAAGTATGTCAGTAGCAAAAGAAAGGCCAGGGAGAGTCTCCATCATCCGCTAGACGCAGGAGGCAACATGGTAACAAGTGATGAGGAGAAGGCTGAGGTGCTTAATGCCTTCTTTGCCTCAGTCTTTAATAACAGGACTAGTTCTACTGAGGCAATCCAGCCTCCACAGCCAGAAGACAGAGACTGGCAGAATGACCCTCCTGCAATCCAGGAGACAGTCAGTGACCTGCTGCATCACAGTGACATACACAAGTCTATGGGACCAGAGGGAATACACCCGAGAGTGCTGCAGGAGCTGGCTGGGGTGCTCGCCAGGCCACTTTCGATCATTTACAAGCAGTCCTGGCTGACCGGGGAGGTCCCAACCGATTGGAAACTGGTCAATGTGACGCCCATCTATAAGAAGGATCGCAAGGGTGATCCGGGAAATTACAGGCCTGTCAGCTTGACTTCAGTGCCCAGGAAGCTGATGGAGCAGCTCATCCTGAGCGCCATCACACAACACATGTGGGACAACCAGATGCTCAGGCCCAGTCAGCATGGGTTTAGGAAAGGCACGTCCCGCTTGACAAACCTGATCTCCTTCTATGACAGAACAACTTGCTTATTGGATGAGGAAAAGGCTGTGGATATTGTCTACCTTGATTTTAGCAAGGCATCTGACACCATTTCCCACAGCATTCTTCTGGCAAAAATGGCTGCTCGTGGTTTGGATGGACACACACTTTGCTGGGTTAAAAACTGGCTGGATGGCCGGGCCCAGAGAGTTGTGGTGAACAGAGTTAAATCTGGTTGGTGGTTGGTCACAAGTGGTGTCCCCCAGGGCTGAGTGTTGGGGCCACTCCTGTTTAACATCTTTATTGATGGTCTAGACAAGGTGATCAAGTGCCCCCTCAGTCAGTTTGCAGGTGACACCCAGTTGGGTGGGAGCGTTGATCTGCTCGAGGGTAGGGAGGCTCTGCAGAGAGATCTGGATAGACTGGAGCGATGGGCTGAGCCCGACTGGAGGAGTTTCAATAAGGCCAAATGCCGGGGGCTGCACTTGGGCCACAACAACCCCCAGCAGTGCTACAGGCTTGGGGAGGAGTGGCTGGAGAGCTGCCAGTCAGAGGGACCTGGGGGGTGATTGACAGCCAGCTGAACAGGAGCCAACAGTGTGCCCAGGTGGCCAAGAAGGCCAATGGCATCCTGGCTTGTATCAGCAATAGTGTGGCCAGAAGGGACAGGGAAGGGATCTTGCCCCTGTATGCAGCACTGGTGAGGCCGCACCTTGATGAGTGGGTTCAGTTTTGGGCCCCTCACTACAAAAAGGACATTGAATGACTTGAGTGTGTCCAGAGAAGGGCAACAGAGCTAGTGAAGGATCTGGAACACATGTCGTATGAGGAGTGTCTGAGGGAACTGGGTTTGTTTAGTCTGGAGGAGGCTGAGACCTCATCACCCTCTACACCCGCCAGAGAGCCGGGGATGAGCCTCTTTAACCAAGTAATAAGCGACACAACAAGAGCTAATGGCCTCAAGTTGCCCCAGGGAAGGTTTAGACTAGATGTCAGGAAGTATTTCTTTACAGAACAGGTTGTTAGGCGTTGGAATGGGCTGCCCAGGGAGGTGGTGGAGCCCCCATCCCTGGAGGTGTTTATGAGTGGAGTCGACATAGTGCTTAGGGATATGCTGTAGTTTGGAACTGTTGATGTTAGATTAACAGTTGGACTAGATGATCTTCAAGGTCCTTTCCAACCTAGTTGATTGATTCTGTGATTCAGTGAAATGAAAAAACACTTTCCAAGAAATCAGAAAACTGTTATCTTTGTCTTTTAATTATCCTATTGTCCCCCAAGTCTGAAGTGCTTTATACAAGCCAACACTGTGCTTTAAACATAACACAAGACTACTTCTGTACAAGAACCTAAAACTGACCAAAAAAAAAAATCTTCACGTTTTCAGTCACTGAGAAGCAAAAAACAACCCCCCTACCTCAGAGGGAATACACTCTATATCAAAAAACCCCAATGGTTTAGTCAACAAAAGCAAAGTACAGTACATTCAAAGCAAGCAAAGAAAGTTACCTTAAACTGCTACCAACAAAACTTCCAGACCTGGAAGTAAAGCACAGTACTAAGTCTGCAATATACTCAACTGTGGCAGAACTGAAACTTCAGCACAATAAGACATCCCCTTCTGCAACACTCCCAATGAAATAAAGGAATTAAGATGATGGATAGACGAAGAAAAAGCACAAAGCATCCAGATAAGTAAAAAAAAAAAAACAAAATAGCTTAGAACAGGCAGAAACAATGAGACAAAGGGAATGCTTCTGTCCCCATCAAATTCGTGTTTTAAACACTTCTTAGGATGCAGGAAAACTAGTTAACTCTCCTCCCCCAACCTCCTCCTCATTTAAGCCAAATGTTTATGCACGTCTGGGTTTTTCTTGTTTTAAAGCTGATCTGAATAGCTCAACAACCAATGGGAGCACCTAAAGCAATTATCTCCCTTTACAGAGTAACAGAAAGCCTGTAAGTGAAGTCAGAGGGATATTCAGAAAGACATAACAGAAATCTAGACTTAGAAAGCATTCACCCATCTTGATTTCGGTGGGCTGCACTGAAAAAAATGGAAGCGCCCCTTTGCCTCCTGCCCCTATTTGTGCCACTACCCGAAGGGTGCTTGACTTGCAGAGTCCAGCTCCAGTCTGACCACTCCTCATCCAGGACACACAAGGGCTACGGCCTCCAAGGCAACAACAAAGTGCTCCTCAGTCCTACCTCCCTCAAGTGCTCGAGGCAGGCAGTGTGCAGGCACCGAGCGAAAGGCAGGGCAAGAGAGGATGACACTCCCGGCTGAACTCTGCCAGCACGTGGGAGCAGCAACTCCAGCCCTCACCTGCTGCCAGCAGGGGCCAGCGCAGGCCTCGGGACGTGCAGCAGACCTGGTCAGATCACCACCGTGACACTGAAATGAGATGAGGGCCGCACCTACCCAGGGGTTGGCAACTGAACGCGTTGTCTCCCAGGGACCTTTATGCCATTTGAGAGAAGAATCATTGCAAAGGCAGATAAACAGCCATGTGCAAACACAGCCCTCTGAGCCCTTCTCTCGCTTCCTCCAAAAGCAACATGGTATTTCCAGGGCTTCTTAGCTATGTCTGGTGCACAGACCCACCTGCAGGATGAGCGTCCAAGGCACAGCAGGAACAGCTCTGCTGCAGGGTCCCTGCCTGCTGGCAGCTGCCTGCTTCTGACAGGAGCCACCACAAACCTCTGCAGGAAGGAGAGTGCCTGGGCCTTCACAGGGTCTGCTCCTTCGGATGCTGGGAGAGGAGTCTGGGCCAGTCACCGACACACACCTTCCGGCCTCCTGCAAGATGCTCACAGCTGGTGGGGGTGAGGAAAGAAAGGGGGAGGCTTTAGAGGCAACTACAACATAAGAAGGGTTTCAAACACTTTGAGACTCAGCTCTCAACAAGAACCAGGTACCCAACACGTCAAGAGAAGCTGGTCCTGGCACTCTCCAGAGAGGTGATAGCATTCAGGAGCCTGGGGATAAATAAACTGATGCAGTTCCACAGTCACCTTCATAGACTGTTGTAAGCCTGCTGCTAGCAGGTGTCTTGTGCAGCTGCACTGAGCCTGCTGGCCTGGCACACTAGGAAATCAGTCAACCATTACAAGTGTTTCACTTTTTTATCTATGTCCCTCTGCTATCACAGGGGTCATCACCCCTCCCGCACCCAGCAACAAAAAGGCAAAGAAAAAGCCAGATCATAATAGTTAATGACAACACCCGAGTGGCCAAATTGTATATATATGACCCTCGAATACACATGTGAAAGCCCATTTAAATCCAGGCATTTAATAAGCAGCATGTCCCAGACCAGAAAAGCTGTGAGTAGTGCTGGGCCTAGGCAGGACAGAAATGTACCTTTAGGGGTTACTTCTAAACCAGCCTTGACTCAGCAGTGCCAGCACACCTACTGCAACTCACCAAGAAATCCAAACAAAGTCTCTTGCTTCTGCCTTGGAAAATCATGGAGACAAGAGTTTGTGCTCCCAAGCACAGGCTGTTTGGCCCTGCCAGAGAAGAGAGAGTGGAGGGTACGGGACCTCCTGAAGCTCCCCGTGCTCTAAGCTGAACCCTCCACACAAGTCAGACCCACAGCTTTAGAGCTCAGCATCATGGAAGGTTTATTTAAACTCATGGAGGGCATAAAAACTATAGTTATGAAAGATATTAAAACAGTACTCTGAGCCACACTAGCCATGTCATATGAGTCCATGGAGTTTACTCCTGCGGCAGTGGAGTTTTTGCATCTTTTCTTTTCTTCTTGGCTTTTCCCTGCTTCTGATGTGTCTCCTGGTTGACACTCCTCTTGGTTTTCTTTGCAGCTGAAACCTGCTCTGCTTCATTACCTGCATCAGCTTTTCTTTTTTTGTTAATCATCTTCTTCTTGTTAGCCACAGCATCTCCTCCATTAACAGCTTCCTCCCCACTGCCTGTCACTGCCACTCCATTCTCCCTGACCCCTCTGTTCTGATTCTTGTGTTTGCTGCTACCTTTCTTCTGCTTGGGTGTTTCTCTTCTGGGGAGCTGCTCCTCTGGGGCTGCTGATTCTCCATCTCTATCACTTACTGGTGCTACCCCATTCTCCTGAGTGACTTTCTTGCGATTCTTGCGTTTCTTGGTCTCTGGCAGGAAGCCTTTTTTCTTCCGCTTAAGAGGTTCTGCTTCCTGCGCAGGCTTATTGGCCATCTTCTCTTTCTTGGGCTTCCTGCAGAAAGAACACCAAAAATGAAGAGCAACTTCCTTTACAGCCAGGGAGTACTGTCATCCATGCTACAGGAGCAGCACAAGGTGCAGGAAGCACAAACATGCTGTAAGGATTAGCACTGGCCGTGGAGGTGGTCCTCAGTCTGCATAGGGACTGGTGAAATAAATAGCAGGAGCTCGACCAGGACTCAAGGTGGCACATGAAGACTTGAGGAAGAATCCCCCCAGTTCCAAAGACCAGATAATACTGTACTTACCCCCTTCTCGAGCACACCCTCCTGTGGCCCCATGCAAGGCTACTGAGATGCTGGCTGGCTGACCAAGGTGACAGCCCCAGCAAGGTCTTCACTGTGCTAACATCTCCAAGAGATGTCCCAGCAAGAACCCCAAAGAGACCATTCCGTTCTCATCTGGACAGCCTTCGTACACATGCAAGACAGCCGCTGCTCCTGCTGTTCTCTGAGAGTCTGTCAACAACTTTACCACCACCCAGACTACGCTGCTCTGCACCAGCTCAGGCCCAAGGAAAGAGTCTTGAAAAGGAACCAAGCTCTAATTCCACGGCCTGGTTTTCAATGGGAAGCTTTCTGGACAGTTTTTCAAGCTGTCTCTCCTTCAGGGTGGAAAAACGCTATCCTAACAACCTGATGTTAGCACTTACCTCTCAGCGCTTCCACTGGAATCATGTGCACAAACCACACCTGATGTAGGCTTGTTCCACCTCGCCTGCAGAAAGACTTCTGAGGGTCACAGTAAGATGCACCAACAGTGACATCAGGTTGCATCCCTGAATCCCAATCCCTTTTTCTGACAGCATGCACAAGTATTTTCTATCTGAGCAATCCCCTTCCTAGCTGCAGTCTCTACCAGCTCCTACCAGGCCCCATCCTTGTGCCAGCCCTGGCAGTATGATGCCAAGGGATCTGAGTGAGACTGGAAAAGGGCCTGGGACTGTGTCACAGGGCTGGGTGAGGTCACTACACCCTGCAAGCCTGTTTAAGGCATCAGAAGGGGCCACAACAACAGCTTCAGTTGCCCTGTATGGTTCCTCCCTGGATGTGAGCCTCCTCCCCGTGAACCATAGGCAAGCTTTTCCCTTAGAGCCTCTTAGAGCTGGGCTGAGATACTACAGTCCAAGCCACACACACTGGGACTGCAGCTCCCAGTCATGGCAGACCACCCAGCATCCCCTAATGCTGTGTGTCTCACTAAATACTGCCAGCACGGAGGAGAAACAAAAGTTCTGACTGCAAGCTATTGATAGAAAGGAGGAAAAGATCCTATGCTTTTTATTGCCCTGGAGCAAGTGTCAAATCCAGCTGCCAGTTAACACAGGATCACTAAAGCATAAACACCAAATGCTCCCCAGCTTTCAGAGCTGCAAGGCAACCACTCCAGCATCAGGCTGGTGATCCAGGCACTAAAGAGTCCAAAAATCACTGGAGAGGATTGAAGGTCCTGGCATGTACTCTCTGGTGGCCAGTCACTTCCCAGGACAGATACTTATTCCCCCCAGCCTCACATTTGGCACAGTCAGTCCACAGTGATGTGGTAGGAGCTTAGTGAATCATCCTAGCCTAGAAATTCCTCTGCAACTTTGGTGATGGCTCTTAAACCAACGAAAGCAGGCACTGTGCCTTTGGGTGATCACCATGATCAGGTATCAGACATGCCTTACAATCCTGTCTCACCAAGGACCAATCCTAAGCACGTAAGCACCTGGAACAATGAGCCTAGCACAGTTCTAAACAAGCAAAGCAACATGCATTTCAACCTCACCAACCCAGGAGCTCCATTTAACGCAAAACCCCAGCCTGAGCTCAGTGCCTTGACTTCCCTTCTCTTCCTACTTCCTGACATCAACAAAGACAAGTAGGACAGGCAGGCAGTTCCTCAGACAAGCCAAGAAGCCAGAGTGCCAAGCATACATACGTATAATTCAGCCAGCGCATGACGTTCCAGTAGAGAGAGTCAAGACGTGCTGAATTCCCAAGGCCTTCTGACTGGTTCAGAGCTACCAGCACTTTGTCCAACTCCGTCAACTTCACACGTAGGTTCTGCAAGCGGCAAGTACAAAGAGACAATGTGCAGAGTGACCAGACAAGGGGCACTCACAGCAGCAGGGCACAGGCCTGCTCAGGATCAGACCACAGCAGGAATAACCAATCCTGTCCAGCTTCTCCAAGCCACTGTCCTGAGCCCATTTGCAACATCACTCCAATTTGGGGGCAAAAATTGGAATCACACCACACCATCAGGCACAGGGTTTGCTTGAAAACTGCGTCTCTAGCATGAGAGGAACAAGTCTAACAGCTAGAACTGTACTGGCATAAAAAGGACTGAAAGGTCCTTTGGTCCTCTCTCCTTTTCAGTCCATGACTGAGAGCAGGAGGAATAAGACACATGACTGTGTATCTATCTAAAAGAAAAGCAGTAGCATTTTCCACCTGGTTTCTAAAGGACGCAGTCATGCTACCTCTGGCTGCCTCTACAGCTTCTGTAACCCACTGAATAAATTTCAGTAAAACCAGACAGAACAGGGCATCTCAAAAGCTATTCAGTTCCTACAAGAGTCTTGGAAATAATCTCTCTCCTCCACCCACTTTCCTATTAGGTCTTCACAAAGAAACAGGCTGTGGTGTGAGCTCAGTGCTTATCAGTAGGAAACTGGGCTTCAGCAGTTCTGCTGTTTGTGCTATTTTGCTCCAGTAAATTTACTAAGCCCATGTTGGAGATTTATGTTGTCACTTACAGAAAATCTTCACACGTTCAAAAACGCTTTTTTTCATTAGGGAAAACAAAGCCCCAGAACAAAGCTTCGCTCTCACTCACAAAGCTTCTGAGTAAGTTTCAGTTTCTGGAAACTAAAATCTCTGGAGTTTAGTGGAGAGGACAGAGCAATCATCTGGGACAAAACCCAGCTCAGCCTCATTGTATCCCAGGCTGTATTTCTGCTGATGAGAAGGAAGATGCCACTGTGTTTGCAGAACACAGTGCAAATCCTTCAACAAGCACTTGGAGATCATCTCACAAGAGCTATGGATCACTCCTTTAGACATGAGGGCTTTACTGTCCTCAAATCCAGCTAAGCACTCCCTCCAGGGGCACCCCCAGTAAGAAACAGGGTAGAATGTAGCAATGGAGCAGTCACAATGTAAAAATTCAAGCATGAAATTTAAGAAAGAACAGACATTTGCCATACATCAGGTCACACACTTACCTGCTCCATCACAGTTTTGAGGAGGATGTTCAACAGCTCCAAGCTCCTGGCAACTTTCTCTTTATCAGCCTTCACAATACACTTGCCAACCATTTTCAAACTCTGCAAATTAAATGGAGAAACAAATCATTCAGGAGAAAGCAAAAAACAATTAACGATTGGTGGGATTAACCTGAAACCAAAATAACTCTGGAACACAAAACCCACCAAACTCTGGAAATGCTCAAAGGGGTACATGGTGGAAGCTGCTGATGCCCAGGTTAATTAGTTTCTAACTGGACAAAATAAGATAAAGTATACTTCAAAGGCACAACCCTCCTGCTCTCCCTAGTTTCTAAGCTAAAACACAACTGGAGACACGTTGCTGCCTCCTGGAGAAAAAGATGAAAGACAGTAATACCCACCCTCGCTGTGGAAAGGCCAGGAGGCTGCCAGACAACAGACTCACCTGAGGGACAAAAGCTACTCAGCCGCAGCAGCTGTGATTTACATGTAAAATGCTAATGAAAAAATCCATTAACACTTGCGCCTAGGAAATCCCAGTTGCCAGCACTAGAACTGCACTTGTCAATCAAGCTTAAATTCACTGAAATGACTGAAAGGAAAAACCTCATGTCTTTGTGTTCCTTTTATGTGCTCCGGGGTTTCTGAGACACTGAAAGGTCTGGCTTAGAGGAAAATCCAAAAGACACGTCAAATAAAAGCCAGAGTTATTTCCCAAGTGGAGAAGGGCAGAGAATAGCCATAAAAAGGCAGCTGGATCAAAGAGGGTGGTCTAGTGGCTCAGGGGTACTGATCCTCTGCCTGCAGCTGGTCCTTGTAGCCCTGCTTACATGGTAGTTTCCTTCCCCACTGTATTTCTGTGGATGCACACACCACAATAAAACCCCACAGCTTGGATTACACTAATATGAAATAGGATTTACAGGGACAAGCTTGTTGTAGACAGTGGCATGCCCCATCACAGCCTACTTCTCTAGAGGAGGCTGCCCTTGGGGCCAAGCTTGCCTTCACCTGGAATTTGAACACATCAACCTGGCCAACGGACAAGGTGTCCTCCCCCAGGCTCAGCATCCTCAGTTCTGCAGGCAACACACATCACAACCTGCACCCCGCAGCAGAGGGCTGCAGTTCTCCAAGAGATGCCATCTCTCCCATTAGACTATCAATTACTTTTGCTCCATTCAGACTGGAAGTAATTTTAAGGACTCTGAGCAAACTGTTCTCCATCTATGTCAGCACAAAGCTGGCAAAGAAAGTAAAAATCCTCACAGACACTGACAGAAGTAAGAAATTTATTTCCCAAAGCAAGCTCTTTCAGTAATGACAACCACAACAGAAAAACAAACAATGATGGCGAGCATCACCAGGAGAAGGCCTAAAGCTATTAAGAGAGATTTTAGGTCCTTGGGAAAACTGCTTAAGGGGTCGGGGGCACAAGTTGTGCTCTCCTCCATCTCTATGGCTGGGGGGATGGATGAGGAAGATTACAGGAGAATTCAGCAGATGAATGGGTGGCTCCAAGACTGGTGTTACCATCAGGGCTTTGGATTCTTCAATCATGGGTTGGTATACAGGGAACCTAATCTTTTGACATTAGACGGGATGCACCTGTCCCAGAGAGGGAAGGGCATTTTGGGGCAGGAGTTAGCTGGGCTCATAGACAGAGCTTTAAACTAGATTTGAAGGGGAAAAGGGGCAAAACATCAGCCCATCTGAAGTGCATGTATACCAATGCACACAGAATGGGTAACAAACAGGAGGAGCTTGTAGCCATGATGCAACAGGAAAATTACGATGTTGTTGCTATTACAGAAATATGGTGGGATGTCTCCCATGACTGGAGTGTGCCAATTGATGGGTACAAGCTCTTTAGGAGGGACAAACAGGGCAGGAGAGGTGGTGGGGTGGCTCTGTATGTTAAGGACTTTATAAGGACTTCACAGGTGTAGTGAAGACAGGGTTGAGTGTCTTTGCATTAGAATCAGGGGAAAGGCCAACAGGGCAGATGTTATAGTATGAGTCTACTACAGGCCACCCAACCAGGACAGAGAGATGGACGAGATATTTTATAGGCACTGAGGGGAAATCTCACGATCACTTGCCCTTGTTCTTGTGGGCGACTTTAACTTTCCAGACATCTGCTGGAAATACAACACGGCAGAATGAGACCAGTCCCAGAGATTCCTAGAATGTGTGGGAGACAACTTCCTGATGCAAATGGTGAGTAAACCGACCAGGGAAGGTGCCCTGCTGGATTTCCTCTTTGTGAGCAGAGAAGGGCTGGTGGGCAACATGGAGGTTGGAGGTCGACTAGGGGACAGTGATCACAAAATAATAGAGTTCTCTATTCTTAGAAAGACCAGGAGAGAGCTAAGCAGGACTGACATCCTGGACTTCAGAAGAGCTGACTTTGTCTTGTTTAGGCACCTGCTTGAAAGGATCCCTTGGGAGACAATCCTGAAGGCTACAGGGGTACAGAAAGGCTGGCGCTCTTTAAGAAGGAAGTGTTAATGGCTCAGGAGCAGGCAGTCCCCAGGTGCTCTAAGAGAAGCCAACACCAGAGAAGACCACCCTGGCTGAACAGGGAGCTTTGGCTGCAACTCACAGAGAAAAGGAGAGTTTACAGCCTTTGGAAGAGGAAGTTAGTCACTCACAATGATTACAAAGATGCTGTGAGGCTATGCAGGGTGGAAATCAGGAGGTCTAAAGCCCAGCTGGAAATTAATCTGGCTTCAGCAATCAAGGACAACAAGCAATGTTTCTGTAAGTATGTCAGTAGCAAAAGAAAGGCCAGGGAGAGTCTCCATCATCCGCTAGACGCAGGAGGCAACATGGTAACAAGTGATGAGGAGAAGGCTGAGGTGCTTAATGCCTTCTTTGCCTCAGTCTTTAATAACAGGACTAGTTCTACTGAGGCAATCCAGCCTCCACAGCCAGAAGACAGAGACTGGCAGAATGACCCTCCTGCAATCCAGGAGACAGTCAGTGACCTGCTGCATCACAGTGACATACACAAGTCTATGGGACCAGAGGGAATACACCCGAGAGTGCTGCAGGAGCTGGCTGGGGTGCTCGCCAGGCCACTTTCGATCATTTACAAGCAGTCCTGGCTGACCGGGGAGGTCCCAACCGATTGGAAACTGGTCAATGTGACGCCCATCTATAAGAAGGATCGCAAGGGTGATCCGGGAAATTACAGGCCTGTCAGCTTGACTTCAGTGCCCAGGAAGCTGATGGAGCAGCTCATCCTGAGCGCCATCACACAACACATGCGGGACAACCAGATGCTCAGGCCCAGTCAGCATGGGTTTAGGAAAGGCACGTCCCGCTTGACAAACCTGATCTCCTTCTATGACAGAACAACTTGCTTATTGGATGAGGAAAAGGCTGTGGATATTGTCTACCTTGATTTTAGCAAGGCATCTGACACAGTTTCCCACAGCATTCTTCTGGCAAAAATGGCTGCTCGTGGTTTGGATGGACACACACTTTGCTGGGTTAAAAACTGGCTGGATGGCCGGGCCCAGAGAGTTGTGGTGAACAGAGTTAAATCTGGTTGGTGGTTGGTCACAAGTGGTGTCCCCCAGGGCTGAGTGTTGGGGCCACTCCTGTTTAACATCTTTATTGATAATCTGGACGAGGGGATCGAGTGCACCCTCAGTCAGTTTGCAGGTGACACCCAGTTGGGTGGGAGCGTTGATCTGCTCGAGGGTAGGGAGGCTCTGCAGAGAGATCTGGATAGACTGGAGCGATGGGCTGAGCCCGACTGGAGGAGTTTCACTAAGGGCAAATGCTGGGGCCTGCACTTGGGCCACAACAACCCCCAGCAGCGCTACAGGCTTGGGGAAGAGTGGCTGGAGAGCTGCCAGTCAGAGAGGGACCTGGGGGGTGACTGACTGAACAGGAGACAGCAGTGTGCCCAGGTGGCCAAGAAGGCCAATGGCATCCTGGCTTGTATCAGGATTAGTGTGGCCAGCAGGGACAGGGAAGGGATCTTGGCCCTGTACTTGACACTGGTAAGGCCACACCTTGAATACTATGTTCAGTTTTGGGCCCCTCACTACAAAAAGGACATAGAGTTACTTGAACATGTCTGGAGAAGGGCTACAAAGCTGGTGCAGGGTCTGGAACACATGTCCTATGAGGAGCAGCTGAGGGAACTGGGATTGTTTAGTCTGGAGAAGACGAGGCTGAAGGGAGACCTTATCACCCTCTACAACTACCTGAAAGGAAGCTGCAGAGAGCTGGGTTTGAGCCTCTTTAGCCTAGTAAAAAAACAACAGGACAAGACGGAATGGCCTCAGGTTTCGTCAGGGAAAGTTCAGACTAGATATTAGGAAGCATTTCTTTACAGAACAGGTTGTTAAGCGTTGGAATGGGCTGCCCAGGGAGGTGGTGGAGTCCCCATCCCTGGAGGTGTTCAAGAGTAGAGTCCATTTAGAGCTTAAGGATATGCTGTAGGTGGGAACTGTGCTAGGAGAACCGTTGGACTGGATAATCTCCAGGGTCCTTTCCAACCTAGATGATTCTGTGGATTCTGTGAGCAAGAGTCTAAGGAAGACTTTTAGCAAAAATGTGGGGAGACCAGATAACCTATCTGCAGGAACAGCAACCTTCAAGTAGAACTATTTACTATCTGTAAAGGACTCCATACCCTGGGAGTATCTTTTTTTAATAATAGTTATTTCCTGATCTGGATTGTCCACTCAAGCCCTGTATTAGAAAGCCACCATGTTCTGCTTACTGGAATTCATACTGCAACTTCATCTGACTATCAGTAACTTGCTCATTACTCTCTCCTCATATAGACAGATGTGTTGCAACTCTATTCCACAGCTGTCACTAACCTACAAGGTCTTACAAGCAGCTCTAAGTCTCTCTGGTAAAATGAGAAACAAATATAGGGTGTATGATTAAAAAAAAAAAAATTCTTTGCATGTGGGATATAACACCCCATGGGCCATGCACAGTCCATTTATTACGCTTACCACAATTAATAGTAATAACAAGAACAAAAACAAAGCAGCCTGATTTGCATAAAATTTTTCTCTGCTATTTGGAAACGAGATATTGCCAGGCTAACAGGCATTACTTGCGGT